CTGAGCAGCAACCAAGTCAGCTCCAAGAGGAACACATGCGGGAACTGAGGTGGAGCAACACAAGAGCTTTAGGTCATTTAATCCTCAAAGCCACCTTGCAAATTCGGTATTATTATTATTGTTCCATTTTACAGTTGAGGAAACTGAGACCGACTTGCCACGCAGGTTGCAAATGGTGCGACCAGGTCTCAACCTCCATCTTGTTTACCTCCAAAGCCCACTTGCTCTTCCCTCAACACTATGTAGGATCCAGACCGACAGTCACAACCGCCAGTTGAGAGTGGCGGCTGGGCTCCAGGTCTTAGCCCCTCGTTGCTGCCAGTCCTCACCATAGCCCTTCAAAGTCTCGTCACTGTTTCTCAGAAGCAGAAATTGAAGCTCAGAAAAGCTAAGTCCCTTGCTGTGGTCCCACAGCAAGTGAGCAGCAGAACGGGGACTTTAATCCAGCATCGTGTCACCCCAAAGCCACTCCCGCTGCTCCCTGTCCCCACAGGCTGCCAAGGCTCCTATCACTGCTCACCATTTCCTTACCTGGCAGACCATAGCTGAGTGTCATCTAGGTCCCTGGCCCTGCCACCTCCTCCACCTTCTCAGCAGCACAATGTGGGGCAGCGTCTCCTCAGGTAGGGCATACACTGCTCTGGTTTTGCAGAGATTTTAGGAGTGTTTAGATGGGCTTCTACATAAATAGTTATGTACTTCTATTAAAAATCTATAACTAGCACCTCAGATCTATGATGTCACAGATCTTACCAAGGATAAAGCTACAAGAAAGGGATCAATTTTACTGATTCCAGTACCTGGGTCTGACACAGTGTGTGAAGGTGGTAAGTGAAGGACTGACGTTTGAGACGTGGGCTGGGAGGAAAGCAGTGGTTGGAGCTCCAGCGCCGACCCAGTGGCAGCTCCCTTCCGTCCCCCTGATGAGTAGAATACGGATTATCATTCCCACTCAAAGTGATAAGGAACCTGTGATCCGGTAGGAATTTAGTGCTCAGACGTGGAGGTGTTCTGCATAGGCTACGGACTCCTGCTTCGGAGTGCTTGGGCCCTTGGCTTGGGGAATCTGGTGTCCTCCAAGTACGTGCTTGTTTTCCCAGGTCGCCAAGAAGATGTACTCAATGGGCTGCTATGAGATCTCCCTGGGGGACACCATCGGCGTGGGCACCCCTGGGATCATGAAGGATATGCTGTCTGCTGTCATGCATGAGGTGCCAGTGTCTGCCCTGGCTGTCCACTGCCATGACACCTATGGCCAGGCCCTGGCCAACACCTTGGTGGCCCTGCAGGTAATCCAGGCATGTCCTAGGAGAAAAGCACGTGTCCATTCTCCCAACGGGCATTGGTGGCAGGACAGCTATGTCTCATCTGTGCTCTCAGCGAGCCTTCACTGTGCTGAATGCCGATACCTATGTGCCGGACCCTGGGCTGGCCACGGTGGACACAGACATGTGACCCAGCCCCAAAAGTGAGGGGGTTAGGTGATCATCCTATTGCGTTATGACAGATGCCACAAAGGGAGGAGGCACGGGGCTGAGGAATGTCCCCATCCCAGCTGGGAGATCAGAGAGGATGTGTCAGAGGCCTGAGCGAGGCTTGGAGGATGTGAAGGGGTTCAGAGTTGAACAAGGGGCAGAAAGCTGGCTTGGCAGCACTGCGTTGTCAGACTAAGGTGGGGTTCAGGGCTCACTCAGGTACCCTCACCCTGTGATAGCATGCCAGGTCATGCCTCTGTGTTGGGGGAACAGGCAAGCAGCCAGGCAGTAGAGAGATAGACAGAGTCACCCAGAGGAAGAGCCTTTTTTTTTTTTTTTTTTAAGATTTTTATTGGGGGAATTGGGGGAATGGGAACAGTGCTGGGGAATTGGGGGAAGGGGAACAGACAAGTTGCTGTCGTCTTGTTCTTCAATCTAGTTGTGGAGGACGTTGCTTCACTGGCCCAAGTTGGCACCATCATTTCGCTCTTCTCTGGCGAGGCAGATCAGTCGCCGGCTTCTGGACAGCCGCTCACTGCGGCTGCTGGCCGCTCACGCTGGCTGCTGGCTACATACTGTAGCCCATGGCAACCCACTGCCACAGGGGCTGCAGCCTACGCCGTCGCCGGCGACTCATGGCAGCCCAGCTCCAGGTTGAGCTGTTGTTCAGCATCTTAGCTGTGGAGGGCAGTGTCACTGGCCCTCATATGTGGGATCCGAACCGGGGCCCTCTGGCATCCCAAGCGAGTTCTTAACCATCGCGCCACTCGGCCGGCCCAGAGGAAGAGCCTTTAATGCTGCTGCCCAAATATTGGACTGAGACCTCAGATTGGGTTTCCCTTGAGGTTTCTTGTGGGCTGGCCGCAAATGAGGAGTCCATGGCCCGGCTGCCCATTAGGAGGAAGCTCTGAGTGTCTGACCACATGCTACCTAGCTGTAGCATTAGTCTGAATCTAACCTGTTGTCTTTAGGTTAGCTGGAGCAACCCTAGGCCACTTTTCTTTTTTCTTTCTTTTTATTTTCTTAATTTTTTCTCTCAAGTTATCCCCTAGAGGCTCATGTCTTAAAGCCGGGTGATTCTATTACTTTTTGGGTCTGTTTTCTCAGAGTTGTGGTTGTCAAGAGTAAGGTCTGTTCGAGGTTTAAGGCGAGAAGAGAAAGTGCAACGGTCATTGAGGAGAGTGAGAAACAGACGGACCTGGGAAAGGGCCTAGGCCGCTTGGGGTAAGAGGCCATGATATGAAGTGACAGCAGCCTTGTCGGGGGAAGGGGCGTATGAATGAATCACAGTAAACAACAAGGGTCTGAAATCCCAACAGTGGGAGGGATTTACTTTAGGTCGGTGATAGGAAGGACCTCTCTGAGGAGGTGGCTTTTAGGCTGAGACCTTAGAGTGAGATGGAACCTTGAAACCATTAAAGGAACCAATGGAAGGTATTCCTGGCAGAGGAAACGGTATGCCAAAAAGACGCACTATTCCAGGAGCTAAAAAGAGAAACACTGTCTCTTCCAGTGGGATTTTCACTTCAACAGAATCATAAGCCAAAGGAATGAATAACTCAGTGGAATTTCAGGCAGCAGACAATTGGGCGGCTTACAAGAACCAGGTTTGTAGGCTCTGGTCCCCACAGTGGCAGCCATGTTCCACCGTCCTTATGCTTCCAGATGGGAGTGAGTGTCGTGGACTCTTCTGTGGCAGGACTTGGAGGCTGTCCCTATGCACAGGGGGCATCGGGAAACTTGGCCACCGAGGACCTGGTCTACATGCTGTCTGGCTTGGGCATTCACACGGTAAGCCTGCCTACCCCCCTGTGGCCACCTCCCTGAGCTGACCAGAGCTCTGCCTGAAGTCAGAGGACATAAGCTGGTGGATTTGTTCAGGGATTTTTGTGTGTGTGCGGGTGGTGGGGGATTGGGGGTGGAGGTTGGCAGTTAAGAGTGGAAAGGTGCCAGGGGATTATCATACGTTTTTGAGAGTGTGGTTGATGGAGGCCAAAAGGCCAGGTTCTCAGTGTGAGTTTGACAGTTCAGTTTGAGGAGGCACAAGGGTCTAAGGAACACTCCTGGAAAAGGGTCAGGCACAGGAGTCCGTTCCTTCTGGACCTTTGTTTTGTTCTGTGTCAAGTGAGGGCTGTAGAATTAGACAGCCCCTCAGGGCCTGTCAGTCAGTAAGGGCCCTCAGTGTCGGTTTGAAGCAGTATAGCATCTGTGCTTTGAGATCAGACAGAACTGGGTTTAAAACCTAGTCCTACCACTCACAGACTGTGTGACCTGACAAATACTTCACCTCTCTTGGCCTAAGAAATGGGAATAATAATAGCACCTATCTTATAGGGCTGTTATGAGGATTAAGTTAAAAAATGTAGAATGCTTAGCCCAGAGCCAAGCACACAGTACATCAGTAAATAGGAGCTATTGTTATGAACAGCGGTTTTTGCTCTCTGCCTCACAGTATGCAGTTTTTGACTGTCTGTGGGCCAGGCCCTGTGCTAGGCCCTGGAGATGGAGCACCAAACAAAACTGATGAGATCCCTGTTCTGGTGGTGGCACTATAAGGCATTACACGGATTGAGGCATCTTATACAAAGGGAGTCAGAGTGGGAACCCCAGATGCCAGGACACAACCACACATGCAGCTGGCTGGTGTCCCATCATCAGAGGAACAAGAGCCTGTTTATCTTCACCTTTACTTTTTCATTATCACAGTTGTCTGTCCAGTCTGTTTCCCTGGGTGTTGCGGTCATGTCATGACTTACTGCATCTTTCAACTTGTTTCTCAAAGGGTGTGAACCTGCAGAAGCTCCTGGAAGCTGGGAACTTTATCTGTCAAGCCCTTAACAGAAAAACCAGCTCCAAAGTGGCTCAGGCTACCTGTAAACTGTGAGCTCCGTGCCTACCTGAAGCTCTGGGGACTGTGGGGGAATAGGGCATGCATGGATGACTCATGGATGGACACATGGAAATGGGAATGAAATTAACAGGGCAGGCACCTCACCACCAGCTCTGCACATAGGTCTCTTCTGCAAAAAGGAGGCAGGGGACGGGAGCGACTTGGCTTCAGGGCCCCCTGCCAGACCTGAGTGTGAGTGAGGCTTTGGGGGCTGGAGGCCTCCCTTCACCATGGACCCAATATCCCAGGAGTTGAACCCCTGAGGGCACTTGGGAACCCCATTCCCTGGCTTGGGTTGATCCTCTAGTCTCATCTCAGTGAAATCTGTCAGCCAGTTACTCTACACAGCTCAACCCTGCCACGGCCTTGGGGCCATTGCTCTCTGACTTTGTAGGGCAAAAGGGCATGGAGGGGTTTTCCCCCAAGCTGGCAGAGGGCATTTGCTGAATGGGTGAGGGCTGAGCTTCTGTGGTGGCCACCTGCCAACTCTAACACCTCTGGGAAATCTCCACTCTGAACATGATTTATGTAAAACAGGTATGTAATTAAAGGCTTAATGTAATATAGAACCATTCCAGTATTCTGTGCAGATATGTGTGCGTATGCAAGTGGCAGAATGAAACATATTTATTTGCACCGAGAGGAAATTGCAGACTATTAACCTCTGCATTTTCTCTGTTTCCCCACCTGAGCCTCAAATTCATAGTGACTGGAAATGGGTGGCTTTGGGCTTACTCAAGGCTGGCCAGAATACCCAGGATAGACTTTTTCTGAGGCTCTTGACTCTGTGACCAGGGCTGCCATACAAGCTCCCCCATGGGCAGCAGCGGCCATCTGCTCCTCTAGACCTGGGCAGGGACAGGTCTGGGTCTCCTTTAGCTCTTTGCATCTCAGGTTCTGCTGTCTGTCACTCGTCCTTGCTGGACTCAGGCCCAGGGCATTCCAGGCTTTGAGAAACGCTTGTGCATTTATTGCTTTGCTCAGGTGTCATCACTCAGTATGTCATGCCTTTATATACATCATTCCCTAGCCCTACCTTTATTTTAAACAGAAACAACACCGTTTTCTAACCCACTATGGTAGGCAGAGTGCAAACCATTCCCAGCAGTTGGGGACCACGGTTTGTGTGAAGGTCGAGCGCAGTCGGCACTGTAATTCCCACTTGAGCTTCAGAGCTCCCTCCAGTTCTCTAGTGGGTTTTCAAACTACTTTCCAGAACCCGAAGCCTCCGGGCGACCCCAATCATTCGCTTCAACCAGCGCCGCTCCCTATTGCCTTCGTTCCACGCAGTCGTGCCTTTTATGCAAGGCTCACTCTGAAGAAAGGGTTTGGCATATACAAAAAGGCTGGAAAACCTGTGGGTGACCGTGGAGCCGGGCTTGTCGGCCCCGTCCCGAGGCTATGGCTCCTGCCGCGCGGGACAGCTGCGGGGCGCCCCTGAAGAGCCCCATCTCCCGGCTGGTGCCCTTCGCTTGCCCAGGGGGCGCAGCGCCTGCTTCTAGGGGTTGAGACAAGCGCTCGCGCCTGACGCGGGGACCCCGGCATGGACTAAGAGCGGACCTCCGCCCACCGGGTCCAGTCGCGCCTTGCCTCCAGCTACCGCCCCAACACTGGACCGTGCCGCCAGCTGCTGACCTGTTCCGGAGCACGCCGCGCAGGCGCCTTGAAGTCGTAGCGTCATTTGTCCTCTCGGCGCCCCGTAGTGTGGTCTCCCTAGTGACACGTTACCTGGGGGCGTGGAGGGGGCGGAACCAGGTGGGCCGTCGGCTCTTAAAGGAACCGGGGCTCGGGGCGCGGGAGGCGGCGCCACTGGATTCAACGCGGGGCGCGCGGTCCCGAGCAGGTTCTGGACAAGAATGTGGGGCCAGGCGGGCGTGCTCGCGGAGGGTCAGGGGGTCCGCGGGGAGTGCGGGAGAGTTTCGGGGGCCGGGCGGCATTCTGGGCAGACTCCAGCTAGGGCTGGCCCGCCCCCACTGCTCTCAGCTCCCGCCGCTGTGGCTGGGACAGCCCGGGTTCATTCATTCCCGGCCTGGGTACGCCTTGCGCGGCCCCCTCCGAGCCATGACCGAAATCCCTGCCCGAGACCCAGCACCCGCCTCCCTCCATTATGCAGACTGGGAAAACAGAGGCGGCGACAGCTGACCTAGGTCGCCCCGCCGGTCCCGGGCGAGGCTGCTTCACCAATCTCGCTGTCTCCCAGGGCACCCTCCTAGACTACTTTCTGGGGATGCGCACAGTGCGTGGACCTCGGCGAGGTGGGGGTGGGGGCGGCTTCCGCGTCCGGAGCAGAGTCCAGCGGGAAGCAGTGGGGGAAAGGGGAAAGGGAGAACTACTTGGGTGACGGACTGACCTGAGACTGGAGATCTGGATTCCTGCCCAACTATCACTAGCTGTGTGACCGCAGGCAAATTATTTCACCTCTCTGACCTTAATATCCTTATTTGTAAAGTGCCAGTGATAATACCTTCTTCAATCAGGATGTTGGGGGAATTCGGGAAAATAATGGAAAAGTGCCCGGTACAGAGCCTGGCGCTCAGCCAAGTTGGTTGGAGCTGGATGAGCCCAGGAGGGGATTGAGACAGCCAGGAGGAAGGCAGCTGTGGGCCAGGCCGCCCGGAATGAAAGGTCTCAGTGTCTGGGGCCTCCTCCCCCCTCTGCCCGCAGAGTTTGTTCAGGGCGGGGTCTACACCTGGCAGTGGAGTTGGCCACGTCTACACCACCCAGCTCAGTGGGGCCTAGAGTTGGGCGGGATCCTTAGCTCCAAATGGGGAGTGATCCTGCTGGCCCTGGCATGGGTAGAGGCCGAGCCAGCCTGGCTGACCTGGGGTGGGGCCCACTCCAGGATTGCAGGGCTGCAGCCCCAGAGCTGGGCTCAGCCTGCCTGGCAAAGGACCCCACCCTAAGGCCATCTGGTGTATTTCCTGCTTCCTCCCAGCTGACCTTTGAGGGAGATGGAGTCTGGGGGCTGTGCACAACAGAAGGTATTAATCACTGAGTCCAGGAGCCAGTTTACATCCAGTGATGACAGAGGGACTGGAAGGTCTGAGTCTGAGCAGACAGAATCCCTTCTTGGGCTCTTGAAATCCCTGTGCTGCTGTCATGTTTGCTTCTGCCCAGAACTGTCCAGTTCCCAGACACCTTGTGGCAGGCAGTATGGAGCCTTAGGTTCCATCATCCCAACCCGCAGTCAGTTAAGACTAGAAAATATGGCACCTGTGCGGCAGTCTCCCAACCTGTACCATGTAACAGGCCTTTAAAAATCACCTTATTTAACCCTTACACTACCACATGGCAATTGCACAATTATAAGCTCCATCTTACAGCAATGACAACCGAGGCCAAAAGAGGATAAGTAAGTGATCTCTAAGGTCAGAAAATGATGGTATCCAGACTTGGACCAGGGCTGACCTCAGAGCTATCCTATTAAGGACACACTACTGCCTTCCTCTGAGGTCAGACTCTAATTGGATGGAGGCCCTTAGTGGGCAGCCTCAGCCACCCCTGAGACTGTGTGTCCTGGGCCAGGTGCAATGGCAGAGAAGGTGCTGGTAACAGGTGGGGCTGGTTACATCGGCAGCCACACGGTGCTGGAGCTGCTGGAGGCTGACTATTTCCCTGTGGTCATCGACAACTTCCACAATGCCATTCGTGGTGAGTGCAGGGGTTGGGGGGCGGGGGCTTTTTGTGGGGGTGGAAGTAAAACCCTGGGTTCCGCCTTTACCTTCGAGGGGTGTGTATGTCTGTCTAGTCCTGTGGGAACCCATGTCCTCTGATTTTGATGGCCTCCATGTGCCCAACCAGGACGGGGCGCCATGCCTGAGAGCCTGCGACGGGTTCAGGAGCTGACAGGCCGCTCTTTGGAGTTTGAAGAGATGGACATCTTGGACAAAGCAGCCTTGGAGCATCTCTTCAAGAAGGTGGGGTTTGACACGCAGGTTGGCACTGCCGAGGGCAAGAGTCTGGACAGCAACCTGACCCCAGCTTTGTCCCTGCAGCATAGCTTTATGGCTGTCATCCACTTTGCGGGGCTCAAGGCCGTGGGTGAGTCAGTGCAGAAGCCCCTGGATTATTACAGAGTTAACCTGACAGGAACCATCCAGCTTCTGGAGGTAAGATGTCAGCAAGGGCACCGACACTGGGAGGGCCCCTAGCCGGGCAGGCAGTGTCACAGTGGGCACTCAGGCAGGGCCCAAGCTGTATCATCTTGGACGCGTCTCTCTCCCTCTCAGCCTATCTCCCTGTCTGTAAATGGGTGTGCCCATACCTCAGCCCTACCCACCTGTGGAGTAAGGGGGTGGGGATAACGTGTGAAGCAGAGGCCAATGACACCTCCCCTCTACGGCCAGATCATGAGGGCCCACGGGGTGAAGAACCTGGTATTCAGCAGCTCTGCCACCGTGTACGGGAACCCCCAGTACCTGCCCCTGGATGAGGCCCACCCCACAGGTGGCTGTACCAACCCATATGGCAAGTCCAAGTTCTTCATTGAGGAAATGATCCGGGACCTGTGCCAGGCAGACAAGGTGAGGGGTCCCCCTGACCCAGCTCTGACTCTGCCCCCGTGAGTCTGAGGACAGGATCCCAAGCAACCCCCACCGAGGAGGAAGCTAGAGTTCAGGAAATGACAGAGACTACCCAAGGTCACAGCACTGGGGAAGGGCTCGAGGCCCTGAGCCTTTCTAGGGGCAGAGATCAGGAATGGGGGTTTTGTGGGAGGAAAAGGGCTCTGGATTGAGCTGGGGGACACAGCCTGCGCCCTCACCCCCAATCATCTAACCTGTGTCCCTCAGGCCTGGAATGCAGTGCTGCTGCGATATTTCAACCCCACGGGCGCCCATGCCTCTGGCTGCATCGGTGAGGATCCCCAGGGCATCCCTAACAACCTCATGCCCTATGTCTCCCAGGTAAGGAAGAAGGGGAAGGATGGGGGTTGGGGGTAGCCCTAGGGTTGAGGGGTACAGCTGGTGCCTAGGACCCGGGAAAAGCTGACTTGACCTCTACCCCAGGTGGCGATTGGGCGACGGGAGGCACTGAATGTATTTGGCAACGACTATGACACAGAGGATGGCACAGGTGAGCCCAGGACCAGGAGTGGGACTTAAGAGGTGGGACCTATACCGAACCTTCCCACCCACCTCCTCCGCAGGCGTCCGGGATTACATCCATGTCGTGGATCTGGCCAAGGGCCACATCGCAGCCTTGAGGAAACTGAAGGAGCAGTGTGGCTGCAGGGTAGGGAGACAAAGGAGAAGCGAGGGAGGGGAGGGAGGTGAAGTCCTGGACAAATGGGGCCCAGAGTGGTGGTTAGTCCATTGCCCTCCACAGTCCCTGTTCTCTCCTGGGCAGATCTACAACCTGGGCACGGGCACAGGCTATTCGGTGCTGCAGATGGTCCGGGCCATGGAGAAGGCCTCTGGAAGGAAGGTAAGCCATCCACCCTGCCCTGCCCTGCCTGCCTGCCTCTTAGCAGGAGACCTGGCCCCTCACACTAGCCTACCTGACGGGTGCTGCCTTAGCGCTAGGTGCCTGCGAGCTCCTGCCCAGCACCTCTGTTTCCTGAGGGCCTGGTCAGCAGCTGGCTGGGCGGGGCCAGGGCTGGCTCAGCTAAGCTATGATCTCCCCTTCTTGCAGATCCCATACAAGGTGGTGGCACGCCGGGAAGGTGATGTGGCTGCCTGTTATGCCAACCCCAGCCTGGCCCTCCGGGAGTTGGGCTGGACAGCAGCCTTAGGGCTGGACAGGATGTGTGAGTGCTAGCCCAACCCCTGGGAGAAAGTTAGGACAGGCCTGATTTGTTCTGGGTACACCTACCCTGGGCTACCTGAGGTGGTGGGGACCTGGTAATCTAACATGGACCTTGACCACATGCCTCGCCCCATTGCAGGTGAAGATCTATGGCGCTGGCAGCAGCAGAATCCTTCAGGTTTTAGCACACAGGCCTGAGACCCTCTCCTACCATGGACCAGAAAAGGAAGAGTAACAACTGCCTACTCTCCAGCATCTGGCAGGAACCCAGGGGCCTCAGAGCCTGCCCTACCTCAGACCCCAGCTGGCCCACTCAGCCCACCGGGCATGAGGCCGAGGGCTCCACGGACCAGGAATCGGGGGTCTCTAACTCTTCTTTTCCACAGGGTCCAGGAACAGGGTGGGGGAGGCAGGGTCCTAAGACAAAACACCCTCCCCTCCCAGGCATTAATTTATACTGCTATGAAGACCCTCTCCAAAGTATTTAAAATAAAAAATTTTCTTACACTGGAGCAGATTCTTACACATGGTCACACTACCTCTGGGATAGAATCAGCCAGGCCTGTGAGTTGAAGCAATTTCTTTAATTTTATCGGAATCCAGGACACAACGAGAAAAACACCCAAAACGACATGGAGACAGAAGACGAGACACAACTTCTCCCCCACCTCCCCCTGGCCTTAGAGTGGGGACAACATGGGGGTGAGACAGCTGGGGTAGACCTTAAGCCTCAGTCCAGCCCTGCAGGCTCCAGGCCTGTGGGGGAGGAAGGTAATGGGGAGGCAGGGCCCAGTCCCCAAGTCGGAAAGGGCTGAGGGAAGGCCCCCTCCAAGGACTCTGCCCCCTCACCAACACTTCTGCCCAGGGGCAGGTAGCCCACAGCAGCAAGGGGGCCGAGGGTCATGGACACATTCATGATTGAGAAGCAGCTGGAGTGGAGGCAGGAGAGACACACGATTATCTGGGCAGAATCAGTTGGGGGTAGGGGGTAGTTGGGGCCTGGGAGGGCCCCTTGGGCCAAACCCTGAGGTCACAGGAGGGGGCCCAAAGCGGGGCTAGTGAGTGAGGTCCTGAGTGAGTGGGTCAGCGGCTGGGCCCCTTCTCCCGCTGCCTACAGCCCCTCCAATACTGCTGCCGGGGGGCCACCTCCAGGGAAATGGGAGAAGAAAGCAGCCCATCCCCTGCTGCAGACATCCGGGTGGCTGAAGCCAAGAAGGAAGGCCTGGCTAGGCCTTGGCCCGCCTGCCCCAGAGGCCTGTGGGAAGAGGATGGGTCAAGGAGGGTGGGGGCAGGGGCTCGACCGGCTCAGATCCAAGATGGTGCCATGTGTGCTGGGTCCCCTGTGAGCTGGGGGACTGCGCTGGGGGCCAGCAACTCGTTAGACAGGAGGCAGCAGCTTCTCAAGAAACTCCTTCACCGCTGCCATCTCCTGGGAGGAAAGGGATTGTGAGAGGCTCCTGGCTGGAGGGAGGAGAGAGAGGTAGGGGCAGGAAGTGGACCCTCACCACTGACCTGAGGACAGGAGCTGTGCATGACACCTGGGTAAGTCTTGAACTGGACCCTGGCGGGTGTGACAACAGACCGGAGCTTCTCTGCTGTAAGGGCCCCAAACCGTACGGGAACCATGGGGTCCAGCTCCCCATGGCACTGGAGGATAGCCAGGTCCTTGGCACTGCCATTGGCTGCCTGTGGGCCAGACAGGACTCAGAGGGCAAAGCCCTCTGCACAATCTCTAAGCCACAAGGAGACTCAGAGCAAGAGGGGGGTTGTGGAGACACTCACCTGGGGGAATGCCCGGTGCAGAGGCAGCCAGCAGCTCAATGCCACAATGCCAGCCAGAGGGTGGGGGCAGGTGAGGGCCGTGTAGAGGGA